TCGGATTATTTTAATAGGGAGCAATGAGATTATTTTAATGGGGAGCAATTTTTCTCTGGGCAGTGCCAGAGGTTTTCATTGAGACAACTCAACAGGACCGATGCTCTGATGCAGCCTGTCACACTTTGGGGACACTACAAAGGGAACAGAAGAACAAAAGGCATAAAGCAGCTTAACGCTGACCTAAATAACCCAATATATTCCCTTTTAAAAACCTCTTTCCCTGCCATCTGGGGTGTGAATCCCCACAGACTACAGAACGCGCTTTCCTTGGGGAAGCTCTCTCTGCAGGGCGGGCCCCGGAGCGACAGCAGCGCTCGGGAATCCATCGGGGCGCGGGGACCGCGCTGCCATCGGCGGCCACAGCACCAAAAATCTCCAATAAAAACCCCGGCAATACCGCCGGCCGCTGGCCCCGCACCTCCCAGGGCCAGAGAATGCCGAATGGAGCTGAGGCTGGGCCAAACCCGGAGCTCATTCAGTTCCTGCCGAGCGCTCCGAGCTCGGCCCGGCTGCGAACCCCGGCCCTGAACCCGCCCCAACCTCGGCTGCAGCTTCCGAGCTCTGGCGGTGCAGGAGTACAGGCTGCCCTGCTAATCCGAGAGCTGGCTGTGGGAAATGTGTATTGTATGACTGGTTTTTCGCAAATATTGAAATGAATGTTGTGTGCGTTGTGTTAGAAAGTTACGCTGTGTTGAGTTTCTTAGGTAGTGTGTTAAATATAGTTTTGGGTTGTAACGTAATGTTAAAATAGAAACTATGCTATCCAAGATACTTTTTTTTAAGCAAAAGAACTCCCACCGAGATAGCAGCCCCAGGATACCTAAATCTTTCAGAGAAAAATAATTTCTTGTTCCATTATCAGGAGAAATGAACTTCACACCTCGCTCAGCCCTGAAGGGGCTGTCAGGATTCAGAGGAAGAAGCTGACACTGACCAGACAGAATCCTGTGTTTGAATGGAATTTATGCAACATGGATGAGGTGTATGAATATGCAACAGGCTGTTGCTTTTAAGGGTTAATCCTCTGTTAACGTGGGTCCTTTTTTGGGCTTATTTTGCCCAGAAAGAGGTACCCAGACTGTCCCTAACTCTCGGTTTCTGTTGTCTCATATTGTCCTAATCCTGAACGTCCAAATTTTTATTACACTAATTATATTATATTTTTATGTCCATTTTATTACTGTTAAACTTTTAAAATTTTAAAAACAATTTAAAAAGCCAAGTGATTGGCATTTTTCACACCGGGGAAGAGGCTCTGAACTCCTGCAGCCCGCTAGGTAAATGGATGGGGAGTCCTGGAGGTACAGCTGGTCCTTTGGGTCCTGTTTCTGGGAAGGCCCTGCCCTGGTTATTTGAATTCTAGGAATTTGAATACATGACATTGAATTGTGTGTTGTTTATTTTGGGGAAGGGGAGGAAAGCAAGCACTAAATGACCATACTGGAGGGGTACCTGCACCCAGAAAATCCCAGGAACTAGCCTCTGCTCCTTTTTCCTAAGGCAGGTTCTTCTAGAACTGATGCTGCTCTGCTGCATGCTTGTCTAGAAGTATCCCACTGTAAATGGGACACAATAAAACCTGGCAGGCTCTGGGGCTTGGCATAAAATGCTGTATCTCACCCCAAAATCAAAACATGCACAAGTTGTTACCAAGTGCAGCTGATGAGGCCACAGGTGTAATGCTAAAGGGATGTTACTGCTTTTTCATGTGTAGCTTCCCATATGTTAAAATTTCAGATTTTCTGAACACTGTCAATGCTTTAAAAATCTCTTCCAAAATAGGTATTTCAATAATCAAAATTTAAATCATCATTCCGTCCCCTGAGTCTAAGGTTTAATCAGAATGATTCCTGCATTTTTTGCCTAGCAACACAAAAAACCTTCTAGAGAAAAATTTACTCCTGAATATTTTCAGAACTTTATATAAATCCACATTTAAAAATATTTCTAGTGCAGCTGAGTGTGATGGTGTTCACAGGGGTCCGAGGATGAGGGAAGAGATGAGGATCTGAGCCCATGTTTCAGAAGGCTGATTTTTTATTTTATGATATATATTACATTAAAATGATACTAAAAGAATAGAAGAAAGGATTTCATCAGAAGGCCAACTAAGAATAGAAAAAGAAAGAATGATGAAAACTTGTGTCTCAGACAGAGAGCCAGCTGACTGTGATTGGCCATTAAATAAAAACAACCAACATGGGCCAATAGCAGATGCACCTGTTGCATTCCACAGCAGCAGATAATCAATGTTTACAGTTTGTTCCTGAGGCCTCTCAGCTTCTCAAGAGGAAAAATCCCAAGGAAAGCATTTTCCATAAAATGTGTCTGTGACAGCTGAGGTCTGAAGTGATCCAGCTCAATCCCATACGTGAAGCAGAGGGGTGTGCATGTGTCTGTTGGTAGTCTGAGTTGGAGCTAGCCCTGGATGTACAGATTACAGCTGAGATCAAACTTGAATTAAAAGAAATGCCAGTTTGATTCCCTCCTATCTGAGTTCATCTCCCTCCTCCTCAAAGCACATTTCAATAACCCTCTTGTTGTGTCCCTCCGAGTTCCCGGATGCTTTTATTGGTCTCATCTATACATTCCCTCGATTCTGGCACTGCCCTCTGAGCCTGTCAGGGCTGTGGCTGCCTCATAATGCCTGCAATTATTGCTCTGTGGGCTGCCAGGGCCGCTAATGATGCTGAGCTGGCTGTGGGCAGTGTGCTCACCCTGCACAATGCGCTGGGAGCAGCAATGCAGAACAGCAGTGCAGAACAGCAGTGTAGAACAGCAATGTAGGTCACAGCCCTGCCAGGATCCCCCTCTGGGGGCAGCGAAGGGGCCAGGGGGGTTTGCATCGGGTTCACAACCACTGATTCCCCTGGAGTCTCCTGCGCTTCCCAAAGGAGCAGGTTCTTGTGTGTTTATGTTATACTTTTTGATGTGTGCGGCACCCACAGCTTCTACTGAGATCTGCTCCCTCTGGGTCCTCAAGGTTGGTGTTTCCATGGACTCTCTCCAGATAAAAATCCATCTGCTTGTTCAAAGCTGCTGTTCTGAGCTGGATGCTGTTTCCTGATCTGTAGCCCCACATTTCTCTTCACAGAGAAATGTAAGGCACGATTCTTCCCAAGAATATTTCTGAGATTCGCATTTTCTGAACCTCAGAGAAAGAAAACACAATTCTTATCACTTGCTGTGCCTGTGTTTGTGCCAAAGCAGAATGCAATATGGAGATTGTTTACCCACAGTGATGGGGTTTTGTTTCCTTGGCCTGTCAGGGCCAAGAGAGTGTGTGTCAGGACTGTTGGGTGACAGTCATGGGATTCTGTGCAGTGTGAGCAGTTGTGTGCTTGGCAGATTCAGTTTTAGATGTATAGAATAATAATGTAGCATAATAAAGTAATTAATTGGCCTTCTGATATCCAAGCAGTCAGATGCATCATTCTCTCCCCTCATCAGGGCCATCACAGCATTGCAATACTGATCAGAGTGTGTCCAAGAAATTCCTCCAATTTGTCAGCCAAAGCAGCCTTCCCTGCTTTTTTTGGCACTGTGTGGAAGCTGAGGGTGGATCCAGGCAGCACAAGAGCAATCCTGCATCCTCCACGTGCATTAGGCTATGTGCAAACTGTGAACCTCACAATGCTGAAATCCCAGCTAAAAACTGGTACCTTTTATTACTACAGACTGAAATTACTCTTGTAAAGTGGTAGAGAAAGATTTCTGCATTTTTGGGTCATTAAAGCCACATTGCAGAAGTACAATATGGTAAATAACACACCAGTTATAACTGGATATTTACTATATCAGTATAGTGAAGTACTAGTATGGTGTAGTACAATACTATACCAGTGGAGAATAGTATAATACTGGTATAGTAAGTAACAAAGCAGTGCTGTGGCACAGGAAATGCAGGATTTGCTCTTGGAGGCCTCTAAGCAGCATCAAGTGCAGGTGTGGAAGGAACAGACCATGGAAGAAGCATCAGGGCAAGATTTTATACTGTAGGTTATTTCCCACAAACACGGGTGAGAAGGGAGAAGGAGCAGGGATGAGAAGTGTCCCAGACTTTGTAATTTTTTTTGCACAGCCTGCTAAAGACCAACACCTCATAAATCAGACTTGGCTTTGCTTGGCTAAGCGGGGCATAAGCCCAAGAACAACATCTAAAGTAGGGCAGGACGAGGTCACAGCTGTGTGCTGGGGAAGGCAGCACAAACCCTGGCTCCCAAACCCACCACACAGACACAAATCCTCCCACAGGCTCCTGGCTCTGGAATCAAGCCCAGAGGTGCATCCTGCACCACTGCAGGGAGGGTACCCCAGGCCTTGCCTTGGTGGCAAACCAGGTCAAACTGCTTTGCTGCCATTCTCAGCTGATGAACCCTCGATGCTCTGCTAATGACTGAGGAAAATGTAAAAAAATGAAGAAACTCAAGCTTTTGTCCAGTTCTACCTCTGCAAAGCAGTGACTTCCACTGAAAATAGAAAAGAAAGTTGAATTCTGTGAGTTAACTTTTATCTAGCAAGTACTTTCTCCCTTTCCCAGGAGAAGGCGGGGTGGAGCCTTGCAGCAGCTTTCCTCACAGATAATTAGCACGCTAATTGCGATGTGTTTAACGCACACCTAGCGTGAGAGGTCGCAGCAGGCACTGATTGTTTGGCTCTCCCCTGCTCTAATTGCAGCCTGTCAAGGCAGAAACCACACGTTCATGGTCCAACGTGCAAGGCAGGGTCTGGTGAATGGTCTCTGGTGCTCTGAGAGTGTTATCCTCTCTGGTTTTGTGTGTGAGGCTGCTGTGGACGTGGGCTTTGCTGAGAAAAGTGTCATTTGCTTTGAGCTCTCAGTACTGTGTGATCCTCCATCAGAGGGGCTGCTGATGATGCAAACCCTGATCTTTATAGGCTCCCTTCGTGCACACATCGCACCTGTGAGCTGCTGATTCAGGTGGGTTTTTAATGAGGGGAGTAAATTCAAGAGTGGAGGGAATTCCCTTGCACAGTGAGACCTGGAGGCTGTTGCAGAGTGTTGGTGCTGGACACAAAAGCACTCGGAGAATATCTCTGATTCCCCAGGTGGGCATTTCAAAAGAGGCCATTTTAATACTGAGAGGCATCCTTTAATTAATAACATATTAATAGCACCAACACAGGGCAACATTTCTCAGCTCATACCAGTGCTGTATTGTCAGCTTGTTAGATGTACACACCCAATAAATCCTATTTATCAGGTAGAATGTGATAAAATAGGTTTGCCTCTGCCTCAAGTTGCACTTGGGGTGGCTTTCAGATAGCTTCCTCAAAGAAGAGATGAAAGAAGTACATAAATTGAGAGGGCAGTAGGTGCAGGTTCAGAAATCACAGCATGAAGTCCCCCAATTCTGGTTCTGCAGTCCCTGAATTTATCACTGTTTTATCCGTGATAAATATCCCCTGCAAGCTTTAGTAATGGAAGCTCCTAGAAGGGAGAGCTGCAACAGCCACCGAAGCTGTTACAGATGGAAATTGCTGCTACAATTTCAATAGATATAATGTAGAGGAAACTTTGTTTCCTGCAAAAAAAAAAAAATTATCAAGCTAGTGAAACAAAGCCTTTTTTTTTTTTTTTTTTTTTTTTTTAGGTCTCAGCAATTCCTGGGGTTGTCCAGATATCAGGACAAGTAAACAATGGGGTAAGAGCTGCTCTTTTTCCTTCTGTCTCTGTGAAAGCTTTTCCGAGGAGCTTCAGAAAGTGCAGGAGAGGAAGAGCTGGCTGTGGCAGCAGGAGGAAGATGGATCCTCCCCCAAACCCACTGAATGCCAGCTCAGATGCAAACCCTGCAACAACCTGGTGCTGTTTGGGACAGCTGAGAGGTGAGACTTGGACTGAAGGAAAGGGAAAAAACACACCAGGATAACTGTGAGTGCCTTTTCCTCCCATGCTGTGAACACTGTGTGGGCTGCTCATCCCCAGAACAAGCCGCCAGCCTGCAGCAGCCAATGTCACCAGGTCACCAAGGCTGGCCCTCAGGGTAGGCAAACAGAGCAGGCAGCTGAGGGGGCTGTTGGCATCTGCCCAGTGACAATCCGACACAAACTGCAGCAGTGGGAATGAATATTCCAAAGGACTATGGAATTATAGCAATTCCAGTGAGACATGGGACAGCCCACAGCCTCCATGTCCTGCTGCATATGGATAAATGTTCCCATGTTTCCTACCAGCACAGTTCTCCAGCTTCCACCAGTTTAGGTGGAGGTCTTATTCTCATTACCAAACCCAGATTCTTCCGAATTGACCTGTGTATTTGTTAATTTTACCCCTGCTATTTTAAAATTATTTTATTCTGTATACCAGAGAACAAATGCAGCCTAGATTGGACTGCATAGACTAGTCTGCAAGGGTACCACAGCTGTGAGTAAAGTAGCTATGTTTTGTGCAAAAGAGGACAAATTCATTATAGAGTTTCTCCTCTCTGCCTTGTCCAATTTCCCCCCATCTCTATGGTCCTGCAGGAAGCCACCCCTGAGACCACAAGGTGAAACCCAGAGGCAGCTCATCACGATCTTGGTGTCTGTGGTTTCTTTGATAATGTCTCTAAAAGCTATTTCTACTGAGATGTAACAGCCTGCATTAAAAAAAAAAAAAAGCCAAAATAATTTTAAAAGATCTCCAATTTGTGGGAATGGTCCCAAATCCAAGCCCCTCAATGCCTGTAGTTGGAAACTGCCCTGTGTGGTTTTGGTGTCACTGCAGTAATGCTGCCCTGGGAAGGGCACAGATCTTCCCTCCCTGTGCCCCTGCTGTGCCATGCAGCCCAGCACTCACACCCTGAGCATGAAATTCAGGGAGCAGGAATGGCTGAGGGCTTGTTTTGCTCCTCACATGAAGTTATACACATCCAGAGCACAACATCAAAGCTCAGCTCTGCTCCCGTGCCACCGGCGTAGATGCTGGGCAAGTTTGGCTGCTTTGTAAAGGGATAATGAGAGGTGGGAAGAAACATGCAAACAAGTAATGAAAGATACCAAACAGATTAAAATCAGAAGCTTGAAGTGCTTTTCTCTTTTTTTCTTTCTTTCTTTCTCTTTTCTCATTTTTTTTCGTTCTTTTTTCCTTTCTTGTTTTTTTATTTTCTTTTTTTACCCCCTTTCTTTTTCGTGGTTTTTTTTCACACTTGCACTGTGCTGTGTTCTCAAACGGGGTCATTTGCATAGGAGAAATTGCTTAGGAGAAATTGCTGTGACAGGCAGCATGGCTCAAGACTGTATCTTGGAATTGCCCTCCCTGGAGCAGCTGCTCAGGATGCCAGGGATACAATACTTTTCCTGTCTGAGAAACAAAACAATAAGGCTCAAACACATGGCTTCTGGAAACACGTACAGGCAAACTTCTTACACACTGAATGTGCTGAAACTATAAACTAGATGTTAAGAGGGCTGAACAGATTTCATGTACTAAGTGCTTTCAGAAATTTCAGAGAAGGCTCATAGCTGTCTTTCCCATGTAAGTTTTGTATTATAAAATGTAAAAAGTGTTCATATTGCACACACACACACACATATATATATATGTATGTATGTATATAACACATGGGGGTTTGGGGTTTTATATTATAAATCATGTCATTCTGCATAACTGTAAAGTAATGAATTCTACAGGAGTAATGTATTGTGGATTATTCACAATATATAGCCTATATAATGAGATAAATTTGCAGTTACAGATTTCTTATGTATTTATAAACAGTGTCTTGCATGTTTATAAGCCTATAAGCTCTGATTTCACTATTGAGTTATAGAAAACTTCTCTCCAGTGTATGACTCCTTCCTCCCATGCCCCTTGGGAGCTGTGACATTTTGTTTGCCCGCACATGAAAAGCTATGGCAAAGCCATGACAGCTCTACCATGCCAATAAAAATAAGGCAGAAGAAAGAGAATGAGAAGGAATAAGTCACTAAAGACTAGCAGGGCTCTCATTTTGCAAAGAGAAGTCAGTGGAAATCTTTGATGCTGACTTATGGACACCTGGGGAGCATGGAGCAAAGCAGAAACTGGGCTCCCTTTGCTCTTAAAAGTGATGATTTTAAATCCTTATCCCCACCCCTGCAAGGAAAGGAAAGTTTAGACTAACGAGCAAAACTACTGAATACATACAAAGTGTCCAAACAATTTGTATTTCCCATTTTTTTTCAGTTTTCTGAGAGGCTGTATACAGTAACCAGTTATGGAATGTGGTGTGGAGAGGGATTTGATGCTTTGAAAAGAGGAAATTCCCCTCTCCCAGCGAAGGAAACGTGCTGTGCCTCAGAAGGCTCGAGGAGCATTTGGCTGCTGTGAGCAGGAAGAGAAAAGCATTTCATTTTGAACTTGAAAGCAAAACTGGGTTTCAAGTGAACAGCAGAGCAGCAGTGTCACTGGCAAAGTCTGCAGCTCGGGTGAGCTGCACAGTTCCTTCACTGAAATGTAAATATGTGGGCAAGAAAGGATATACAGGAAGGCCTTTCCCTGAGGTTTTCCTCTGAAGGAATGAGAGAAGCCTCCCCAGATTTTGTGCATTTATGAAATTGACCTTTTTGAAATGAGAGCTGCAAGAGAAAGGGGGATCTGTGAGAGATGCTGGATCAGTAGCTGTCTACAAACTGGCTTTAGTGGTCTGAATATTATGGTGTTTCTGAAAAACATATTTTCAAGCCAAAAAAAAAAACAAACAAACCAAAAACCTCTCCTTCAAACTCAAAAATGCTGTAAAACCCCAGCTTTGAAGCAAAGCTTCAGCGTTCATCTCCTGATTTCTGTTTCACCTTGCCTGTTGCAGCCTGCAGAAGCAGCCCTGGCTTTTTTTGGCCATCAGGAGCTGCTCTGTAATTCTGCCTGGATTTTGTCTTTTTCTCTCTCCATCAGGTGAAAGCTCTCATAGTGCCTCAGTGCTGAAGTGGAAGGTGAAGATGGGGTGGCTGCTGCATCTCTGCAGAGCCTGAACTCAGCCAGGGCAGGAAGTGGCTTTGCAATGGCTGTAACAGGGGGAAACGTGCTCTGAGAAATGTCATTATATATAGCAGGGAGGAAGGGAACAGAGAAGTACCCAAGCTTTTCAATTGCAGCGTGGCTTTCAGCCCTGCTTGCCCAATCCCTTTGCACCACAAGGATCTCCTGCCATGTGCCTCCACCAGGGCTGTGTGAGGCAAGGAACAGCAGAGCTTTACAGCAATAACCTCTGAGTGGGATTTTCTTCGTGAAACAAGGGAGGAAAAGGATAAATAACTCCAGGTTATGCACAGTTCAGATCCATGGGGGTTCCAGCAGGTGGATTTGGGCACCACCTGTTGTAGCAGGAGGGATCCATCCACACCAGCTCAGCCAGAGCCATTTTGAAGGGAAAAACACAATTTAAAAGTGAAGGGAGTGAGTCACATTGCCTGCTGGCATAAATGCAAAGCACTTAGGAGCAGGAAGTGTCTTTGTTTTTGTGCAGGGGAGTGTGCTCAGGGCAGGTTATCACTGAGGTGCATTGCTGGCTACCAAAATAAGGGCTTGCTCCAGCAGCATGACCATCCTACCTGGAAGGGGGAAACAGTTTCATGCAGTTCAATATCAGGTACCCAAGATTTTGCTTTTTGTTTTTAACACTGTATTTAACAACACTGAATCTTAAACCAGCATCCTGTCACTTACTACTCATGAAAATGCCAGATGTGTGTGCACAGCTGTCTCATTTTGGACTCAAAAACCTCACCAAAGCTCTCTGGGACTGGTGGTCTGGTCAGCTCTGCACAGGTTGGGAAAAATATCCTGTGAGCCATCTGAATTGCCCTACTGGGACTCTCAGCCAGTGTAATGATGTCTGCAGCACAGCCAGCCTTCTTGGAGAACAAAGTGCAGTTTCCTTTTGTGTGCTGAACAAACAAACATTGTGTGGGAATTGGTCCTAACTGAAATTCATTTTTTTTTTAAATATCCAAGTCACTTTTTTTTTTTTTTCCCCAGAACACTGACCCTTGGGAATGCCTGTGACTGGTTTGTGAAACTCAAAAACTATAGAGGTATCCATGATGGGGACAACTATTGCAATAACATCAGGGATGGTTCTGCAGTTGAAATTAAGCATAGAAATGTCTGAAAACTGGCAGTGTGCCTAGTACCAGAATTCATTATGAATTCTGTGTTTAGTACAGTTTAGGTAAGGAATCATTCTAACTCTCCTTTCTCCTTTAATTAAATGAGAGGTTTGCCATTACTCATATTTTGGGCTGAGCTTGTCCTGCCTGGCAAATGGAGAGAAACAGGGGAGAGAGAAAAAGAGAAGACTCTGAAGTATCAATCTTTGCTGCTTATCTGTCTCCAGGTACTGGCTCATGGAAACTCAGTGGAAGTTTTCATGAAAACTCAGTGGAAGTTTCCACACTGACAATGTCTTCCAGCAATTCTGTTCCAGCTGTTGGATGCTTAGTGCTTCACCAAGAACCTGGACACAGATTTGTCATTGTGTTTTTTGTCATAAATGGTCCACATATAAAGCCATGGCCAGAGCAAACAGACTGTAAAATGCAGGGAAGGAAGGTAAGAGAGATGTGTGGAGATGAGGGAGGTGTAGGCTTGTACATGCAAATCCTGCCCTGAAGCATCTTGATTAATTTACTGAAATTGCTTCTGAAAGAACTAAATCCATGTGAACATTTTTTGGAACAAGGATTTTAAATGTTTAAATTCAATGAACAAGGATCATACGTATATTGAAGCCCTTCTCTAACACTTCTTACTAATACTTCTGGAAATGCTGAACTTGATGCATGTATGCTAGTTTGGTTTTTAGAAATCTCTTCTAAAAAGTAAACACCACAACTGAATCAGTTTAAACCCTGAATTTTCATAAACCACAGTAGATACATTAATAAGATATATAAGATACATATATGAATATATATCTTAACATGTTATTAGAAATATTGATGTTTAAGTTCAAAGAGTTAATTAATATTTAAATTACTGTGCTTAAAAAAATTATAAACAGGACTAGTTGAGCAGGTTTAATCAGAGAAGAAGTAAATTTTGTTGAGAGTAGATATGCAGTGATACCAGCTTCTAAAGCCAAAATATGTGAGCTCATCTTTTGCTAGATGCATTGAACTGATTACTTCATTTATCACTTCTGGTTTAGGCCTGTTTGGAGTAATTAGATTTTTTTTTTTCTAGAATAAAGGTAGGAGGATAGCAGTAGCACCAAATACAAGAGACAGAATATGAATGCCATGTTAAATAAAATCATATCTTTGGTGTCTGTACCCTGGTAAGAATTACCATCTATTCCACATACCCCAGTGTTATAAATATTTCTTACAAATGTGTCCAAATTTATCCTGGTTATTTTCCTTAAATATTCCCCAAAGTGCAGTGAATTTTAAACACAATTTAGAAAACTGGAGGTGGGTGCAACACTGTGCCTTGATGCAGGGCCTGGTTTGCCATTGGTCAGTCAGCAGTCTCTGATCCCTGCTGGCTGTGTCCCATGGGTGCTCCAATGCCTGCTCACTGTGCACCAGCAGCTTCTTCAGCCTGTTTTACAAATAAATAAATAAATTTGAAATGTTAGTTTTTGTCTTACTGCAGAGACTTGCGTACAGTGCCAGCCACGGGCATAAAAATCATGCGCTGGTTGCAAAAATAAGGCTGGAAAGTGAATGTTGTTTTCATTCTTTATCTATATACATAAATATTTATGTGTATTATGTGCACATACACATGCACATACAGACATGTGTACTTTGTGCTGACACTTCAAAGCCTTTGGGCTCTGTCTGTTTTGCATTTGCCACGTGTTTCATTTGTTTCTTTTTCCTCAGGTACCAGAGTGCCTTCACGTTTAGGGATGGAACATTGTTCATGTGCCAGCGGTGGGGATTGAGGCCAGGCTTCTCCCTTCATGCAGGGCAGGTTGTCACACAGGAACCAGGAAAAGGTAGGTTCTGTCCCTCGCTTCCTGTGGAGAGCCCTGCAGAAGTCACTCTGCTCTGTAACCTCTTTCTGAAGACTGAAACACAGGTTTAAAAGCCAGAAGATTTCTGGGAAACTGCTTGTGAGTCAGGAGTACCCAGGGGATGAGCGTGGCTTTTCTTTGTGTTCAGAATAAGCCATTTAAACGTTGAAATTTTCTCTCTTTCTCTAGAATGAAAGCCACTTTCTGTTTAAGCATTTACAACCCTTTCAAGGCCATAACTTCGCTACACAGAAATGGGTCTGGATTGCCAATGCTTGGAAATCCTGTAGTCTGTGTTTTCCATAAACCCTCAGAAACTCAGCTGTCCCCAGGGCTTTCTGCTGGAGCAATCGAACAGCCATGCTGCAAAATGGCAAGGTAAGCAGCCCAGCAGAAGACACAGCAGCCAAAACTCTTATCTCAAGAGCCATTTCTTAGAGAATTGCATCAACTTCCCTCAGTCAATAATGAGTCTTATTTATAAATTCACATACAATACAGAAAGGAAATGTGTTGCACTGTTGTGGAGATCAAAGTTTCAAGGTGCTTTTTTTGCCTCTTTCTCCTGTTTGGAGAACTGGACTTAGTTTGCATGAGTCTGTGTCCCTCTTCTTATTGCTGAGCCCAGCATGCTTGATAGACTTGAGTATTTTGTTAAAGCTGTTTCCAAAGATAAACATTTTGCAAAACTTCCCAGAATGCAAGTGTTCAACCTAATTTGCCCAGAGCAGCAGTGTTTGTTGGCAGGCTGCTCCTTTATAGGCAGGCTGAAGTTCCAATTCTCTACATCACAAATAAATATATAATGAGAAACTTTATCCATGGTCAAGGGTGCAATCCCTGCCTTATTGAGGTCTGTGCAAACAAAACCTTTATTGATTTAATTAGGTAACATTCAGAGGTTAACCCCAAATCTCCTGCTCCTTAAATAAGAAGCATTCAACCACTGAAAAAAAAAATAGGAAGCAAATTAAATATAATAATGGAAATCCCCAAAACGCCTGAGCACACTCAAACACCTTTAAGAAGTGGATCATCAGCTTTTCAACGTTTGAGAAGCAGAGAGGAGATGGGTTTTGTCCACATGCAGAATTTGGTCTGCCTTTCCTTCCAGCTGTTTTGTGATGTGACACAGTGCATGTGTTCCTCATCAGCAGCTTGGCTGCAGCAGGTAAGTGCTTGGCTTCTTGTCAGGAGCACAGCTGCCAGCCAAGAATTTTCCTCCAAAAAGTAGATAAATTTTCAACAGGCAGGCTGGGATGCTTTGATCCAATATGACAGAAGGAAAAAGAGAAACCATATATATATATTTATATGTATTTTTAATATATATTTTTATATATTTATTTATATTTATATATATTTATAAATGTACACACATTTCATAGATGTACACCTAGAATGTACACACACACATATATACATATTTATTAATATATATGAATACATGGGTTGTTTAACAGACTACAAAACC